CACTTCGTTTCTTTATAATTTTTCTTTATTATTTTTGGTTTCTTTAGTTTTTGTTATTGGAAATAACGTTTTCTTTTATTTTATTTTTAATTTTATTAATTTTAGTTTTGTTTGTTTACTAATAAATAAACTGGTGTCTTGAATAATAACTGTAAAAAACTTTTTGCTATCTAAAATTTTGTAGATTAATAAAGAACTGCTTGTAACAATAGTTTAATAAAGTATTTTTTTACATGAAATTATTAGATGTAATTTATTTTAAAATTTTTTTGCTATAATAAATAAAATAAAATAAATAATGATTACAATATAATAAAATCAATTATTAATTTTAGCCAATTAGATTTATCACAAATCAGCTAATAAAAATGATATTTAATATAGTCAAGGATTTTTCAAAATTTGAAGATCATTTTTAGAATAATCTAAATCATGTATTAATATATAATTGGCACTTTACTAATATTTTATTATAGAAAAATTCATAACCTTTCATTGATCTAGTACTGCAATAAAGATCAAAATCTAACTATCAAATTACATATTTTCTAACATATATTTTTAGAATTCATGAGAATCCAAAGCCTTGACAAATTAGATTTTTTAAATTAATACTTAAATTATACATATTTTATATATTATTCACTAATAAATTCAAAAGTAGAAGCCAAAACACTACCCTGTCTTTTTGCTTCTTTTGCTAAAAAGTACTCAGCAAGTAATTTACTAAAGCATATAAATAAGTATAAACCTGATAAAAAGCAACAGTAGCAAAATATATTAGCTAATATAGTAACAAAAAAGCTAACAGAATTGGCTAAGTATTTTACTGAATTAACTTTATTTCTTGCTTCTTTAAAAAGCTATTCTTTATATAAATAGCATTACAATCAGATTATTACTAAACCTTCTTTTATTAAACAATTAGCAGATAAATCAAGTTTTTTAAATTTAGATAAGAGCGAAAGAAAAAGATTAAAGTTTTCTAATAAAAAAATTTTTGTTGATTTTGGTACTCAAGTTAATCTAGCTTTCATCGATTTTGGTATTCAAGTTAATTTAGCTTCTGTTGACTTTGGAGTTCAAGTATCTTTGCCAGATCCAACATATGAAAATCTTTTAAAGCAAATTAGTAAACTAGAAAGTACTAATAAACAATTATTAGTTGAGAATGAAGAGTTAAAAAAAAAGTTATACAAAAGATTTACTAACTAACAAAATCATATTAAGTCTATTATAGAAATTGCTAAAAAAGAGTAAAATAATTTGTATAAGAACATATTAGATTTGATGAGAAATAAAGAATGATTTTTTTGAATAGCTACTTAGGATATTCTACTTCTAAATAGCTTGCAGAACAAAATCTAATTGTTGTAAAGTTTATAAAAACTCTTACTTATAATGAAAATGAACAACAACAAAAAGAGAAGCTTTTTAAAAATACTGTAGCTATTGATACTATATATAGATCAAAGTACTTAAAATATGTTTCTGCAATCAATTTGACTACTTTAGCAATTAAATATTTATTAGCAAGGTCAAAAATGATTGTGGATATCAACAATCATATTATTAGTTCTGGTATATATTTTTTTTTGTTATCAATTAATTTTTTTTTTTTTTTAATTTTATAAATTCTTAAGGTATTTTATTTTTTAGACAACTATTTAAAATTTACTAACTGGTTAGAAAGTTTAGCTATAAAGCAGTCACTACTTCTCGAAAGTCTTCTATTTTTAGCTTTTGACAATGAACAAAAAGGCTAAAAAAATGATTTAGACTGTAGGCATAATAAGGTTATATTTCATACTATTACAAGTTTTGTTGCTTTTAATTTTCTAAATAACTAAATTCAGATTACAGATCCTTGGTTACATTCTGAACTTACCCAAAAGCAATATAAAGAATTATTTTATTTAATATTAGATATAGAAAATAAAATTCATGAAGAGCTTACTAATTATCTCTCAATTATTTTAGAAGAACTTTGTATTGAAAAAAAGCAAGAAACAAATGTAATTAATAACTTGATATGTAATCAAAGTCAAGCAGGTTGTATAAAAAAATGTTCAGTTTGTAATACTTCTAATATTAATAACAAAAAGCAAGTTTGTTCTATATACTGTAATAGATTACTGATGATTACTGAAATAAATCAGCAGTTTGATGAATCAGCTAATATAGTAAATACTAATAAAAAGTCTCTAGTTATTAATTCTTATATATTTGGAGAATTAAGTAAGCAATATTTAGCTCATGAAGTTTATACATCACAAGTATTTATTCCTGATCTAATAGGAGTTAATTCTAACTCAATTGCTAAGTTTAAAAGTTTCTTGAACATATTGAAGAAATATCTAGAGTTAAGAAAAATAATTGTAAATAGGTTGTAGCTACTTGTGATAGTGTACCATATTATTATATACTAAAAATAAAAAAAGATTTTCTTTGGCTTATATTAATTTCAGATGCTCTTCATGAAGAAATGAATATACTAAAAGTATTCATTGAGTTAAATTAGGATATTGACATAAAAGATTTTGCTCAATGTTAAGGATATAGAACAGAGAATCAACTTCAGTTTTTCAAAAAGTGCTCTAATCATTATAAGTTATAGAATTTGGTATGTAATATATATAGATATACTATAGCCTCAGAGTTAATATAGCTGTATATCATTTCTGATAAAAATTCTTCTGTAGAAGGTTATTTAAAATAGGCCTAAAATCAAACTGATTTTGTATTTAAATTAAAGTATATGCAAATTTTTGTTTATTTGCAATCAATTATTAACTTTTATACTAGAGTTTGTTTTAATAGGCCTTTACTAAGACTTATAGCTAAACAAATATTTGCACCTATTTGGTTTGCTCAGTGCTATCCAATTTATCGATTAATTGAGATTTATAATAGAAAACAAATGTTATATTTAAGACCTGAGATTTATAACTTAATTCAAGAAAGAATTGTAACTTTATGATCTAAACTTTTGAATTAACATCAAGGTCATGATGCAATACTTAAAAGAGATTAATAAATCACTCAAGTCTTTAATTCTTCCAATATCTTCACTACGGTATTGAAATATTGTAGCTTATAATTATACAAAATTTGTGAAGTTACGTACTAATCTTTTTAATTTAATAGGATATTCTAAAAATAAAGCTTATGAACCTTAAGTATATCCTAGTTATATTTCTAAATCATATCGATTTTAAGCTCAGATTAAAAAATCTCAGTTTATAAATCCAAATATTAATAATTAGATTTTCTGAGGTCTGGTGATCTTAGTGTAGTAGTTAAGTTGTCAGACTGCTATATAAGAGGTCTGGAGTTCAAATCCTACTGTCGATAAATTTGAATAATTACTCAGACCTTTGTATCTAACTTACGATAAACCCTATTTGTTTCTGGGAGTTATAATCTTGTAAATCATGTTGCACTAATATCAATCAGATATTGGAAGTATGACGCAATATTCAAGTTATATTGTACAAATAAATCTTGATAGGATCTATGGGCAGGGGACCTGCATGATAGAAATCTCAAATTAGGTGAAGTAGTATGGATTTTAATGGTCATACTGGTTAATGCTTGATCCAAAAAAGAAGTCTGTATACGAAGGTTGCAGATTGAGCAGGTGTGAGTAAGTCTGCTGTGTAATACAGCCTAGTGCCTTGCATTAGTGGTAATACTAACTTGGCTTGATGGCTAACTGAATTTGGGAGGATCTGTCTCATGAAACTTCCGAATATATAAAAGACTAATTTGGTAGAGAGTCACAGTAGGAACTAGGTTTGTATGAACACCTATAAGGGTATATGCTAGCTTAATTAGAATATAGCACAGTATAGTTAGGGTATTTTGCAGGCCTCTCTTGATGAGGATAAAAGGGTATCTTAAGATAGGGCCCTCTTAATAAAAGAAAACTGAGGCGCAAGGTTAGTCTGAGTGGTCCTTATTGAGACAGCATGAAATTGTACAGGTTTAAGAATAAAATTAAGTAAACATTAAAGATGACAGGGATACCACAGAGTTTAAATAGAGTATCTACAAATGAATACTAGTTATAGCAATTGGTAAGTAACCTCTAGGTAGAACTTTTAAATAGACAATGATTAAAGTTATATGTATGACCAATTGTACTCTCACTAACTAATGTAAACTTATGAACTACTTAATAAAAATTAACTAGTATTGAGGTCTTGTAAAAAAAAAAACAAAAAAAAAAAATAATAATTATGTCTATTAAAGTTAGAATATACTGACCATTTTTATTTTCTAATTCATCCTGATCAATCTACATCTGACTTAGTTTATTATTAGATAAACCAACATATTCATACTTTAAGGCTTCAATACTCAGATTAACTACTGAAAATGTAGCATATTGCATTCTACTAAGGTAAGTTGTCAATTAGTTAAAAGGTTGAAGTATATCAACTAATTTATGTAACAACTCCTATTCATAGTCATGTAGCATTCGTCTTTTTAACTTTTGTGCATCCTTTTTTGCATCAGTTTCTTTAAGGAGACCCATCGTTCTGTTTAACTATTCAATTGCTGGCCTCAGAACTAACAAATGTTTCTTTGCTTGATAACTGCTATTCATCTTGTCTTAACATCTTTAATTAGGCATAAAATTTTTATTTCTTCATCAGAGTTTTCATATTCAATTTCATCTACAGAAACATTCTTATCTAATTCTTCATCTATATGAATTTTAGTTCTTTCTATTATATTACATTGTGCTAATTCATATTGCATATGACAAAGTCACTGGCTTTGTTTGGGAGAGTTAAAAAATTTTACTAACTTATGAATCTGATATGTATGAGGTTTGATCATATTCAATATACAATTAACTGTTAGCTGCAACGTATGAGCTGAACAAGGTAACCTGACAACACCTTCCTATTCATTGATTGCTTTTTTTACATTGGTTCTATTATCGGTTACTACATATAATATTTTATTTAGTAACCTAAATTCACTTACTTTTTTATAGATTTTGTCTTTAATTATTTTGGCAGTATAAGGATAATTAATTTTTTTAATGCATAATATTGTATCACGCACTTCAAAATTAGATGTTAACCAATGTAATGTGATGCCAATATATCTATCTTGACTATAGGCAGTCCAAAGGTCAGTTGTCAATGAAGCAGTTTCACAGGTTTCTACTATAAGATTTTTAATTAAATTTACACCAGTTTCATAAGCCTTACCAATATCTGTTTTGACACCTTTATAGCTAGGAAATGCGAATACTAAGTCAAATTGACTAATCATTTTTCTGTATTCTTTTTTTTGAGTAGTATTTAATAGAAGTGAATTAGTCACTAACTATTCAGATATTGTATATCGTAGCTTATTTTGTTTTGTAGATTTGTGAAGTGTATATTTGTTAAGCATATTATTAATTTTTAATTGCTGAGGCTGGGGTGTTATTTCAACATCAAATTCATTTTTACCATATATTTTATGGTGGTTTTGTAAGTGATAAGCTATATTTCTAGTTCTATCATCATGTTTATATTTTCAACCATATTCTTTCTCTTTTCTTTTGACAAATATTATAATTTTGCAAATGTTCTTGTTATCTTCAGTTAAAAAATAATTCTAAACCTAGCTTTCTTTACCTTTGTTGATTTTTATATCAAAATTCACTTTGATTTTTTTTGATTTTGTAGTTGCGGAGAGCAATTGATGTGGGTCTTGCTTTGTATTAGTGCTAGTTAAGTTGATTACACTATCTTCGATCTCTTGATTCAGGATTTGCTCATTATTTTGTTGAATTGCTTGCTCTATGAACTCAGAATGCGCATTAAAATCAGTACTAAGGCTAGTATTCATTTTGTTAACTTGTGATACAATTTACTGGTATAATCTATTGATAAGAGGTAAACTATTTAATCAGATTGTGAAAAAGTTTCTAAAATATAGACAACACAAATTTATGATATAAAAAAAAGAATTTTATAAAATTTTAATTAGAAACTTTAAGGTAGAAAAAGTAAATTTTTATCATATTATTTTTTTAACCTGATGAGGAGGTATTTGAACTTAACTATTATGCTTATTTTATATTTTTATAAATCATATTTTTTTTTTTTTTAATATAAGGCAAATTGGAGTTTTTAGCTATACAATCGGAACGTATCCCATTCTATTTACTTTTTAAGTCCTAAATTTGATTTTTTATTCATACTAATTTTTTTTTCATATAAATTTGAAGATGTTTTTCATGTGAATTTGAAGATGCTTTTCATATGAATTTGAAGGTATTTTTTATATGAATTCGAAGATGTTTATGAATTTCATACTTTTGCATAGCCATTTTTTAAGCTTTGCCCTTCTTAGTATTATTAATTTCATTTTTTCTGCATGACTATAGTTTTAATTACTTGACTTTTTTGGGCTAGTATAAATTTTATATAATGTACAAATCACAAGTTTAATAAAGTCACATAGTAACAAGAATTATTGTCATATTTTTGTATTCATATTATATAAAATAGATTTAACAGGTTTGACTTTATTAGCAAATTTATGAGATATTTTAATTATTATTTTAATAATACAAATTTGACTTTTGGATTGTTTGCAAGTGATTCTTTGTTGTTGTATTATTATGCTATTATAATAATTAGTAACATTTAATATTTAACTTTGATTGCATATAAAATCTCATATCTAATTGGATTACCCATTTTACTCAAGTTACCAGAATTTTTACCTAGTTATATAATCTACTCGCGAGTAATCTGAGTTACCCGAATATGGGTCTAATCCCTACTTTTACCTAAAGAAACCTCTTTTTCTCTTTTTTGCTAATTTCCAAAACTAAAGAAGCCTCTTTCTCTTTTTCTTTGATGATCTCTTCTTATATTATACAAACTCTAAGAAAGACCTATAGTGTTCTAGTAATAATTTATGTTATACAAAAAACAAAATACAATCTTCCAAACCTAGAAATACCAAGTTGATATAATATAACTTTTACTAAAGTATATTGAGACTCAGAAAAGATTATACTTATGATTATTTGAAAATTAAGGCTTCTAAGAACTTTATCATCAATATGAGTAGATACAAATAATTAATATACAGATAAACTATTAGAATTATAGTCTATTTCAAGTTCTAAAGAAAATCTAAAGAGAAACTTTCTTTGTTAATGTTTATACTATATAACTCTAGTTTCTACTGTAGCTCTCTATTAGTTTTCTGTTTGCTGATCTCTTCAGATATTTTATGAGGTAGATCTTCTCAATTTAGTTAGCTACTAAGCCAAGTTGATGTTGCTAATTTTTTTTGTAGAATAGACTTACTTATACTTAACTTGATTTATATTTTTTGGAATAACAGTTTCTTTTCTAGATCAAGCTTAG